AAATAAACATAACAGACAAACAGAATTAGAATAACCATTTATATGAAGAATAATGATAAGCACCAAAAAAATGCAGAGAAAAGGTTTTAGCTGTGATGAAAAAATTGCAAATTTCTTTAAAGATAGTTTGAAATATATTCTATGACTTTTCAACTCTTAGAAAGACATGCACTTTTCTAAATGTATTCTATAAACCAATCCAAATAGCTTTGCAACCCTGTGAACTCCACGCTTTAGAAAGATGTTATACTAAAATAGAACAAAGTTGTTTTTTCTGGAAAATGCACAGAAACAGCAAGTGATTTATGAGATTACTGACTGAAGTGGTACTCTAGTAAGAACCCACAAAGCCACTTCCCACAGAGTGAAATGTATACGGTATATTAAGTACAAGCTTTACATTACACTTTCAAAAAACAACTTTTAAAAGCTTAATATGTCATGATATGCAGTAAATGGGGAAACAATGCATGACAAATTAAGTTTCCCCACCTTTGGGAGCCTTCACAGTACTTTTCAGTTCATAAATGAAGCTCTGTAAGCGGGCTCCTGGGCCTCAAATCTCCCTCACATGAGGCTGAGCCACATGACTGCTTGCGCTTACTGGAGAGAGCGCTCAGGAGGGGAGAGAGCAGCAGGTCAGAGGATTCATCTAAACCTCAGCCGACATTCATGTGACATTGAGGCTGTTGCAGCCTTCAGGTTTATCATCATGCCCACCAGCATTCCAGCCCCAAAAGGCATCTTTATTCCTCATTTATGCTAAATAATGCATTCAAACGGCGTAAATACACAACAAACCATATTGGGAGGTATAAAGATCACAGAGGTGAAAAATGTAAACAATCCAAGCTATCTTGATATCAATATGTACCCATATAAAATTTAATTAACTGGAAAATATGATGGCAAAGCAAAAAATGGCTATTTCATACATGTGAGGTGGTAAAAAGAAATACTATCAGTGGAGCATCATAGAAACTACACAGATGAGCCTGACAACATCAGCGAAATATCAAATATGTTAAATATGAATACAACCTGTGTGTGGTATTGGTTTTGAAACAGTTTCATTAGAAGACTGGGGAACACCAGAAGAGATTAAAATGTTTAAAAAAAAATTCAGTACACATACTGACATATGCTGCATGTGCTCCCATTTAGTTCTATAAAATATTATCGCATTTTAGGCCTAAATGAATAAAGGATAACGTTTTTTTCTGAACTAAACATTTTACAATTTATTTTCATTTTACAGTAATAGAGTTCAGGTTTTATCAGTCTGTGTTATAAAGATGGTCAAACTCAGTCTACATTTCTTATAAACTGAGGAAAATCCATTTAGTTTAAGCATAGAAAGGGAAGCCATTAGATATCAACTTCAGTCACACCTGCCAGCCCTGATAAACAGTAATTCCCCTAAAAAACATGTATTAAAAAAAAGATTATAAAAGCAGAAATTTCTTTTCATTTGGACACAACTGGCTGATAACTCTCTCTCTTTTTTTAAACCCGGGTTTTCATGCTTAACCCCATTAGCCACATCATTCATGTCAAAGAGCATCTTTGTCCTGAAATGAGAACTAAGCCTCGTTAGTTAATATGACTTCAATAATTATTTTATTTCTTACCTGAAATGAAAAACGTTTCTTATCAAGTGTATTCTTAAATAAAAAAAATAATGGTTATTGGTTTTATTTCTTTTCTAATAAGGAACTAGTTCACAATTTGCTCAAAAACTCTCAAGTATGATTTTTTTTTTTCACGTCTACATGACATGAAGCAAAAAAAAGTTTTTGATTGCTGTTGGTTTTATTCAAGACAAACAAATATAGCTTTGAACATAAGTAAGCCACAAGCTTAATCTTTGCTTCACTTTTTTTCCAAAGATAAAAGTAAAAGTATGGCTATATTTAAATATGCAACGATTTATCTACAAAAAAGTATTGTATTCTTTTAAAAATACTTTAAGATAAATTGAAGAATTAAAGTAGAAAATCAGCTCGGCCCTTTTGTTTTGCCTCCTTCCCTTACTGTGCGCCGTGCGTAAAAGTTGGCACCGTACCTGCGATGTCCCACAGCTGCAGACGCACCGTCTCCTGGTCCCAGGTGAGGACTTTGAGGGCAAAGTCCACCCCGATGGTGGCGCGGTAGTTGGGGCTGAAGTTGTGATGCACATACCGCTTGATGATGCTGGTCTTCCCGACACCGAGGTCTCCTATAACCAGTATTTTGTAGAGGCGCTCCTTATGGTGGTTGTTCTGCATGGCGACCGAGGAGGGCGAGAGCTGAGCATGAATCCACCGTAACGGAGAGGACTCGGGGGATGAACCGGGTGGTAAATAATCACGTAGGGTAAAAATCACTGAGAGAGAAGTGGAGAGCTAGGGTTGTGGAATGAGAAGGGGAGGTTAACGCCCTGGCCCCTCAGAGACAAAGACGTCTGGACCTTGTGACTGAGGAAGGGCCGCAACATGCTGCTGCTGCTGCCTGGGAGTAATAGAGTGTAACTACTGTAGGAAAACAAACCAAAATCTCTCCTGGGAAAGAGAAATCAACAATTAGGCTACTTCTAAACCAACAAGGGTGGAAATAGTACTACACTGAAAAAGCAACGTTTTGGTCCTGTAAATATTACTTCAAAATGACACCTTTTTAATGTATTACTTAGAATTCAGTTCATTTTATTTATATAGCGCCAATTCACAACACATGTCATCTCAAGGCACCTTACAGTTCACCAGATCATACAGTCAAATTAATTCAAAGTTTTCTATCTAAGGAAAACCAGTTGATTGCATTGACTCATTGGCTCTAATGCAATCCCTCACACTAAGCATGCTTGTAGCGACAGTGGAGAGGAAAAACTCCCTTTTAATAGGAAGAAACCTACAGCAGAACCAGAGTGAGCGGCCATCTGCCGAGGCCGACTGGGGTTCAAGGAGACAGAAGCAGAGATACAAAAAAGCAGCTGTAAAAGGCGGCAGCGTCCAGGAAACACACAGCCAGTCAGATAAACAGGACTACACTGTAAAACATGAGTTAACATATAAAAACAAAGGTGTGGAAAGCAGCAGCACAGCTGATATTTCTCTCCATGAATGTGACATAGCCAAATAGGAAGAGAGCAGGCGAAGCTACTATGAGAAAAAGCAGAGAGAGCAGAACGTTAGAGATTTAACTAACAGATTCTGCAGAGGGAGAATAGAGACAGAATGAAGCACAATGATGAAAAAGGGGTCCCTATGTCCTCCAGTAGTCTAAGCCTATCGCAGCATAACTATAAAGAGCGCTCAGGATAACCTGAGCAACTCTACCTATAAGCTTTATCAACAAGGAAAGTTTTAAGCCTAGCCTTAAAAGTAGACAGGGTGTCTGCCTCACGGACCAAAACTGGTAGTTGGTACCACAGGAGAGAAGCCCGATAACTAAAAGATCTGCCTCCCATTCTACTTTTAGAAATTCTAGGAACCACTAGTAAACCTGCAGATTGAGAACGAAGTGCTCTGTTATGAACATAAGGAACAATCATATCTCTGATATAAGATGGAGCTTGGCCATTTAAGGCTTTATATGTGAGGAGGAGGATTTTAAATTCTATTCTGGATTTAACAGGAAAATTATGAAAAAACACTGACCACTCTGCTTCAATTTTGTAACTGCAATATTTTGTGTTATCACATAAAATCTTCAAATAGTTTATAATTGCAATGTGAAACAATGAAAGTGATGGTAAGTAAACTGTTCTTATATAACATTTACATGTTAATAACCCACAAAAAGCAAGATGAAATATAAATGAATGATTGCGCTTTAACAATGCCCTGTAAACACCCCTGATTAATTAGGTCTCTGTAAGAGCTCTGCTGATTAAACGGCATCAGAAATGAACCCACCCAGAAACGACAGACTACCAAATACCACAGGCAGGAGTTCACATATACAGCTTGTAATGATTGATCAACACCAGTGAATGTCAGCTAGTTTGAACGAGCGGGTAATTTCTCGAAGATGTCTTTTGCTGATAAATACACATCCCAGCACCTACGTTCTGAAAATTAGCCCCTGAAAAACTGTTGTTACTGATTATTGAAAGAGGTTACACAAGCTTTTCATATCCAGGTTTTTCTTTGTTTTATTGCAAGTTAAAAGAAGTAGAAGGAATCAATTTGACTTTTGTTGCGAAAGGAAGGGGATTTCCAAACAAAATCAATATGACAATTTACCAAAAATGAAAAAAAAAAAAAAACAGAAAAGAAAAAGACACATAACTACTCAATGTAGCTGCAATGTGTTGATATCCCTTTATTGAGAGAAATTCCCTTCAAATGCTCCACAGGGAGCAATCCACAGTAAAACATGGCAGTAATGTCAACTTGAAGCAGGAACTAAAGATATATCAATTCTCTGCAGTGCTTCCCTGAGACAGAGAAAAATCAAAGTCCTGCACCTGACAATTGTTCAAAACAAACAGTAAATCATTTCCCTTTTAAATGTCCTGTCACAGCATGACCCATCCATTTAGTTCTGTGTTTGTGTTGACAGTTACAGCATGAATCATAGGAGGCAGCTAACAATCAACTGCACTAAAAATCAGCAAAAATATAAAAAGGACAAAACAGCTACTGGATGAAAACACAGAATTCCACATCGAGAAGCAAATCAACTGAATTCAGCTCATTAAAATTTGAAAGAAGAGGCTGTAAACTAATAGGTGGTGCAATTTAAAAAATCCTACTAACTAGTTATCAAATAAAGAGTTTTTTAATTTTTTTTTAATATTGTGTTTTAACACTGTTTTCATTCGATGATAGCTTTTCCCTTCCATAATTTTGAGTCACTTCTGTAAACATTTCTAAATTTGAAAACTGTTAATTGTTGCTACATTCTTAGGCTTAATGTGTTTAAAACCGAAACACAGGATTTCCATTAAACTTAATCAGTAACTTTTCATGCATTTATGCATGTGCTGGTTAAACCAGTCCTGTTCTATGTGACCAATTACAGCTCTGTATCTTGTACCTAGATTAAAACAGCATACATGACATTTAAAGGATTCAGAATTGTGATCAAGGCACTAATTTATCCAGATCTGGACTTTAAAGCTTCTACATTTTGGGGATGGGTCTGGCTGCAACTGCGATGCTCTCGATGGCACACTCGTCGCTTCCCCGGCGAATTCGGAAGTAGCCCTCCTCGCCCCATCCGCTGCCCCAGCTGTTCTTCACTATCCAGTACTTCTGCCCGGTCTTGTGGCAGCGGCCATAGCCCACCAGCAGCACGGCGTGGTTGGTCAGCTCAAAGGGATTAATGGAGTCTGCTAGGCCAGTGTGGTGGTAGATGCCTTCCTTGTAGTGCATGAAGTCAGGGTAGACCTGTAGACAAATACAAAAAAAGTTTTAAAAAACAAAAAACTATCCACTGGACTTGGTTTCCAAGTTTGAAGATGTTTCGTGTTTCATCCAGGAAGCTTTTTCAATTCAAAATGTCAGAATTAGCATTGAGTTCAAAGCTTCATATAGTAGCCAAAAAACTCATTTTGGCTTTGAAAAAAACGAAATTTGAACCAGAAGAACAGGTTAGGAATGGGGAGTCGTTTTGGATTCTTTGTTAGCCTACAATACCAGGAACCTGTCCATGTGTCTGAAACGAGGTCGTTAGGGGCAACTGTTGGCTTGGCTTCTGTAGAGAAATACTAATTCATTAAAACTCACCTTCTCTTTATGACTTTGATTCATTGGGTAAAAGCCAAGGGATTTATCTGGTGACATATCTGTGCTATACAATTTATTGAAATACCTTTCACAGAAAAACAACGTTTTTAAATGAACAGAAGAGCTTTTCTAAGATACAATAAGTGTCACTTTGTATGTTGCATCTTCATTTATTTGATTTGTTTGTCCTACATCCTGTATTTTGTACGATGCCCTAGAAAACCATTAAATCATTACATTTACATTTTCATAATCCTCAAGCACAAAAATGGACTTTATTGGGATTTTGTGTGATAGCCTTGAAAAAATTGGTTTAAAATGTTTCACATTTTTTTTTATTTGGCATGCGTGACACTGGTTTTTAATTTCTTTTTTAATTATTTAATTCTTTAGGATTTAAAATAGATTTACCAGGAAAATATACAGATTTAATCTGCATAAGTTGATTCTACAAAGGTCTGAGTCAATATCTACTCACATCAAAGATTTTTTAAATATTCTGAAACCCCTTTTTCCCCCACACGGTCATTTGCTATTTTCTGCAGTTCTATTAGATTAAGATCTAAATTAAAGGTATGTTCAGTAAATGCAATGGGACAAAAAAAAGCTGTGTGATTAATGACAGAAACAGAAACACACTAAGTGTAAATGATAAAGATCTATGGCTAGAATGCATTCTATGAACGATGAGTAAAGAAAAAAAGAAATGACCTTTTACCAAAAAAACAAAACAAAAACAAAAATGCTTCTTTTTGGCTGTTCTAAAGTTTAACCTAAAAATGATCTCCACTTTCCAGATCTAAACTGCAATGCTAAGTTTTGCATAGGAACGTCAAAGTCAACACTCAGCAGGTGTCGTACCTCCAAAGCAACTGCCATCGGTCCATTGTTGACCAGCTCAGTCATCATGGCCACCTCACTGCAGCCACCGTAGAATCCACCCACATACCCGTACTCTGCTGTGTACATTTGGCCGCAGTTTTGAGGAAGGTCACATGGAGAGTCCTTTGCAGTGTAAGGAAAGCAAGACTCATCCACAATGCCGAAATCCTGTACATACTTCCCTATCAGGTAGGGAAAGCCCCCATCGCAACCTTCAAAAGATGAGAAAGAGAAACTTTCAACAATTATTCTTTTAAAATGCTCGAGTCAAGCAGCAGTCAGGACACCATCTGAAAACCCTTAAAACACGACTATCTGATTTTAGTTTTGCTTTCTTTTGACATTTTGTTCTGTTTATTTTACAACTAACAGCAGATGTATAAAAAAAACGAAAAACAAAACACCAAATATCTTACTTTAGTACTCCAGAAACACTTAATTTATATTTTTAATCATTTACTGCATGAAAAAAATGATTAGACTGGTCGTAGGAACCATAACTTCCAGATCCTTTGTTTACCTTGGGAGTATTCAGAGCAGGAGACCACCTGCTGAGGGCTGAGGACGGGGGCATCGCTGTTGTTTGTAAGGATTCGAACTCGAGCCTCCAGCATTCCCATGGTGGCGAATGAGTAACAGCTTCCGCAGGACGCTAGATTCCAAAAAAAAAAAAATTACATTTACAAAAACTAAGCAATTTTGACATAATTTATCCCAAATATGTAAACAGGAGATGAACAAGGAAATCAACTAGTAATCAAAATCAGTTGATTTAATGGTTTCGGAAATCGACTATTTAGAAACTGGATACTTTTCAATCAGTGCTGGGAGACTCTACTGAGTGGATTAAACTCAATGCTGTTCTGATTTAGGGTTATGCTCAAAATCAAGTTTGAAGGAAGTACAGATATTTAAAAAAAATGTAATTTCTATGTCATGTCATGAGTAGGGATGGAATAAATTTCAGTTTTGACATTTACTTTAACAATGGCCTAGACTCTCACTCTATCATTTTAAAATATAAATTACCATATAACCCACTTGGATAGCTGTAACAATAAAATCAACACTAGTAAAAATAAAAAGAAGTTTCAGATGATCCATCAAACTCGCCTAAACAGAGATATTAGAAACTCCAACTAAATTAAAGAACACTCTAGAGTAGTTAGTGCAGTTAAGTTAAGATTTTAAATAATGTTTTAAAAAGTTGACAGCACCTTGTTTGTAAAAAAGAAAGATTTACAGCTTGAATGCTGAGACTGTTGTATATTTTGACTGCGGAAATCAACTTAAGAAAGAAAGTTTTACATGTACAGTAATACCACTGGGATAGTTACATTCATGCATCTTAAATACACATATTCAATATTTTCATACAAACTTTTATGAATTCTAACTCATTAACCAAGATCTAAAATGTTTACATCATGGAGACATGTCCATGGATAAATTAGGCTGTTGGAGAGCGAGAAAAGAAGGCTCTGGGAGTCCAGCAACGTATCCCCGCTTTAACCTTTTGAACATACAGTCTCCATCTGTCCATGGTGGATTTATAAATGTTTGCAACCTTTTGGAAATCTCAGGGTTAAGATAATGATCTGTTTTTTCTAGGACATACAGAAGGCGAAGTTTTGCAATGTTTTCTGCCTAAACCATACTAATCTCTAATGCTAAAGATGCTAAAGTCTGATTTTTTTTTCTGCAACCCATACAAATAATTAAGGCTATAAAAGACCTTTTTTAGAACAGGTTTTTTTAATTGGATTATACTTCTAGAAAAGAAGTAAAAATCAACAAAAAAACATTAGCAGCAGTAAGGCTTTACAAAAAGTGAAGGAAGTAGATGCCAGTGCCATCATGTTTTAATCGGAACATCTCCAGTATAAATAAGGATGGAAATCACTGCTGGAACTGACCGACTGCTCTGTAACGACTCATTTGCTCACGCAATACATTTTACCGTTCAGCACTGAATACGTCTCCAACGCTTCTTCCACAGCATGCTTATCTAACAGAGAATGACTACATACCCATAGAACAAGGCACAAACACGCATTAAACAATGCTGGTATACATGATGTCAAGCATTAGGTTGCTAATGAAATGTTTTACAGGAACAAAGTGGGTTGAGGAACAGGGGCTGCAGGACTGCGCCTGGCATTTTAATTGCAGTAATGATTCAAAGAGTGACATAGGACACCCCTCAGCTTCTTGGTATAAATAAGGTGCAATAGACTATTAGTTAAATTAAAAAGCTGCAAAAATGGGAAGTTCTGATGCTGTAGTTAATGAGATGACCTAGAAGCGAGGCCAAAGAAAATGTATTTACTCACAAGACAGAGAGTTACGGTGGTTTCATGGCACAAGATCACATTTAAAGGAATTAAAAATCACATTTCCAATTTCTTTTCCGAGGATAAGTCAATGGTTTCTTTCATACGCAGGCAGGCGCATTAAGTCACTGCATCCACGTGTCACTGGTCTCCCATCAGAACGGGTTGCACATCAAAAGACTGTGGTATTTACTCCTGATTACTGCTCAAACTGATATGACAGATTAAGAGTTGTTCAGATTCTACTGTGTTCTTTAACTTCTTTGACAAGGGTTATGTTCAGTGTGTTATTCCCTCAGGCAGCGGGGATTTTCAAAGACAGCCACCTTCCAGGGATGCACACAGAGAAAGCCTGTAGATCAGACACTTAGACCCCACTATGGTTGTTTTCCAGTTTTATTTTTTCATGCTTCGCACCACAAGGCACTGCTCCTGGTGAGGGAATTCTCCGAAGGTTCTAAACATTTCCCATGCAAGACCACATCGGATCATTGGAAAGATAAATTATTTACACAGCATGTTAACCCTAAGGGTGAAGAGCTGTCAGGAGCAGGGTGGGGAGAGGGATTACAAGGCTTTAGATTCCTAAGCAGAGCACACAATATCCGACAGGAAAACAAAGCAAAGAAATGCTTTGCAAACAGAGTCAGGGGTGCAATATTAGACTTTAGGCTTGATTATGCAAGGACATTTATCGTTCATCTCATACAGACGTTTGGTCCTAGGTAAAAAGCTTCCTCCTCGAAGTGTTGAAGTAAACTCCAGACTTATTAAACCCCCCCCCATCTTACTTAAAAAGATGAAGGAACAGAGGGACAGAGTAAATACTTTCATCAGCCACTGTTGATGAATGAGTTATCACTGTGTAAACCTAAAGCCCCGCTGCAGAAATCTCTTTCCATCCCGACTGCAACATCTTGGCCGTTTCTCAATTCACAAGAACACGAGTACGGGCTGGAGTTCTCCCCAAGTATGTTCCTGACAAGAACACAGGAAAGTATAGATTCTGGGAGAACGGGAGCACGCAGCATAAGTATAGGTCAATAGGAATAGAAGCATACTGTGATGCCACCACACGCTCGGATTCTCTGGAGCTGCATTTCACCTCCTGTTATCAATAATCTCTAGATAATAATAAGTTCTTATTTCTTTCATTTAGTGGGGCAATATTAATGAAGATAAACACAAATTAAATGATTATTTTGCAAAATAA